ACTCGGCGAGAGATATCTTTTTCCTCGCGTGTGCCCGTGTGCGTGTGTGCGTGCGTCGCATGCGTAAGCGTGCGTGTCCTTTGTGCTGCTGCAGGTGCCATGCGGTGCAATGGCGTAGGGATTTATGCCCGCGAGCTGGACGAGACCCCCCTCCCCGGTCTTGACCTCCTCGGCTGTCCTACTAATGACGCGCGGTGGGGTCTTCCCTACTTCTTGTGGGGGTCGCCAGCTGCCTTGAGCTGTGATGTGCGGTTTGGCTATCATTTCGCCGCAGATACGCGCGCGCGCCTAACTTTGATGCGTTACCTCTGTCTCTGCTCTGAGGCCATACGAGACGACACGCCTGTGTCCGTTTGGTGACCCTTATGGCCGCGGACTCTTAACCATTTCACGCTTACCCTATCGTCTCTCTCTCTCTCTCTCTCTCTCTCTCTCTCTCTCTCCCTCTCCCTCTCTCTCCCCCTCTCCCTCGCTCTCTGCCCAACTCTTGAGGTGCTCAAACGACCACCTATAAATCCCAAGCAGCCACTGCCCAGGCGCGCACGGCGTTCACGCACATGTGACACATGCACCTCCTTTCGCGCGAAACATGAAGCTCTTTTGTCGCTATCGTGATGTGATATCTTTCTATTTCTTCTGTTTGCAGTCTACAATTTGAAAAGTTCCTGGAGTCAAATAATACCAGTCTAGCCACCGCAGAGGGTTTCTGTATGTCTTTCTGTCTGCTAACAGTAGCAAAAATCATACTTAATGTATATATCAAATGTAAGTACAGGAACTTTGTACATAGATGTCTCTGCTATGCACACTATACATTATTTAATGCTCATAAGCATGAAGCTAAAAAAGCTTGATGCAAGAACAGTCCTTTCCGGGTGCCTGGTCCCCTGTCGATCGTAGGGTAGGCCACCCGCTCGTCTCCCCTGCTCGCCACAACAATAAGTTGCTTTACTACCAGGCGTCCCTTTTATTTCTTTAAACATTTCTACCATTCAATTTATCCGACAGGAAAAATCAATTCAGAGGAAAGTGTGCAAGTTGCCACATACTATAGTTCACATTCACAATCGTTTATCCTATTATTCAATATAGTTACACTATCATTGGTTGTGTGATAGCGAAGCCTACTCCGTCTGGTTGGAAGGAAACATTTTCTATCCGTGCCCGTCTGTCTGTCCGAACGATAATTCGAGAACGAATTGAGCTAGTGACATGGAGTTTTCAGGCTGTTTTTTTTTTTGTTTGTTTTGTTTTTGTCATGAAAAGATAGATCAAGTTCAAAGATCGACACTCTGGCTCAAAAGTTGACTGTTTAAAAATTTAAAACAGCAGGTCCCAAAGGGTGTATGTCATCCGTCCCACCTAAACCCTCCCCCCACCAAAAAAAAAAAAAAATTGGGGGGGGGGGATTTTTTTATGTATTTCTGAAAGGTCTCTCGTCGAAGTAGAGTCATCCGTTTGGCTCTATCTCTCAGCCTTTTGGCGCTACAGGGTGTTTTCGAAGAAAAATTACAAAAAAAAAAGAAGAAAAGCTTACCTGCAGAGTCGTTGAGAAAGTCGCAAATCGAAATATGTTTGAGGAACCATCCACCCGAAACAACTTATTTGGAGAAAGATTATCACTTAGGACCTACCAAGGGGCCCCCTTCCCTCATGGAATCACGAAGTACCAGGGGGCCGAAGGCCCGTATACTCGTTCGTGTTTTTCCAGTACTCTACTCAGGTGTCAGCGCCACAGGCCAAGGTAGATGTATGCCAGGCGCGTCGCAGCGTAACAGTTTTTCGTGAGATATCGCGAAGCCTGTTACGCGAGACATGGTCTGGCGTACTTCTACCCAGTTATACTACGAATAGTGACCGAAGGTCGGGCCACATGCCCGACAAACGCCACCGGCCTGCCAAGCAACCTCGGCTCCTGCCGAACGGAGGTGCTGGCGGAGCGAAGTGAAGCTCGCAACTTCGTTTGGCGGAAGGGCGGGCAAGCTTGTTACATAAACAAGGATAGTTTACTTTTTTGAACTTTAACCTTCTGTACTCTGTACACTGTCTGAAATCCTGTGACAAAGTAGAGAAAAAGAGAATTTTCATACAGTATGCAGGTACATGGTGCACGTCGTACGTAAATACTGCAGTCCCCATAAGGCTCCATGTTAAAAATTCCTGTCCTCTCTACTTAAAACAGAAACACCGCACTTAGCAAGTACAGGTTAACCGTGAAACGAGTTGCCAAATCAATTAGCCAGTATAGGCGGACAGTGTAATCTCGTTACTCTTCAGTAATGCTAATACCAAACAACCGAACTTCTCCACTATTTTATCACTTAGCTGTTTTACTTTTTTACTGCTAGAGTGAACTTAAAATGTTCCACCGGCGACTCAAAGCTTGCCTGATGTCAATTTGGCAGGGCAAACTTAATTTTTGACGAAATTCTCCGATCTTAAGGCATAAATCACTATTAGATGGTTCGAGTCGAGCTGTCGGGCAGAAAAAAAGGTGTGATAGTTCATGCAAATTATGGAAGGGAGGGAGTAGTGTTGCAGGTGTTTGAGGTCTTGAGGTGTTCTCTTACCCGCGATCGGACCGCTATCCATACAACAACTCCAGTCTCGCGCGCCTCTGGTGGTCGACGCCAAGCTGCCTGCCTTCTCTGGTGGCCAACGCCAGAGCTTCGCCTGCCTGTCCCTTTCATTTAGTTTATTTTCGCTTTATAACAATAGTTGTGTCGCAACCTGCTTTTTTTTTAAATTTTAGACTTTTTAGCGCTCCGTTTATTTCCGCGACATTTGTGTCATCATAAAGCGCGTGTTTTATTTTCATTGGAGTCTTTACTGACACTTAACATAGTACTGCAGGGCCCGCCGCCCTCTCCTGCTCGGCGCTCACGTTTGTGCCCCAATAACAGTGCGACTGCAACAGGAAGCCCAGGTTAACTTTTACATCCGCGTGCGACGAACGCACACACTCGCTCGCTCTCACATCCAGAGCAGCAGCAGCTCATTTGCTAGCGTTATTATTATTTGTCCGGACGGGAGCCAACGCGCCTTGGTAATTAGAAAAGTAAAATGACAAGGTAACGTTACCGCAGATTGTTGAAGTGAAATCATTCGGGCGGACTGTGTGTACCGCGGGACGTTTTCTCGCCGCACTGCACCGCCTCTCGATCTAGTTTTATTACAGGCCGCATCACCTGCCTGCACCGCAGCCCACAGACCTCACCTTACCTAACACCGTACACGTTTCGTGTGCAAAACGGAACGCGGTCGCCTGAAAAATGTCATGTCTTAGCAAAAGAATAGACGGGCACTGTTTTTTTCTAGTTGTTTTCTTAAACCTTTTTTGACGGGTCGGCGCGGTCTTTAGCCCGACCATCGCAGCCTCTCTAATGTTGCACACTCGCGGGCACACCGGCCGCCCCACGCCACGCCTGCATAATGCACCACGCACACGCCACATAGGGCCCGCAGCGGCGCAGCACGTAACGACCCAAAACGCCCATGTGCACCTGCATATGCAGCTCTATGGCCCGAACGAATCGGGGCACCGAGAGAGAGAGAGAGATGACCCTCCCGCCGCCCGTCCCTAATAGCTGGCCGCACGGTCGCACACCCACTCTGCTAATGATGAGACGCTGTCTTGGCTGGACTCGAGATTTCCGATCCGATAGATTCCGCGGCATAACGTGCACGGTCCACCGTCTCGCGGCTCGCGGCCTCCAGCCCCCGTATTCTGCGCGTGTGTGTCCCGTTCGCGTGTGTGTCGCTTGCCAGGTCTTTGGCAGCCCAGCAGGTCGGTGCGGCGCTTGGTGCGGTCCCTGTACTGCGCGGCGCAGCGCCACTTGCATATAATCGGCATTCCTGTAGTGCTGGCTGAGACGGAGTAGGAGAACAGGGCGCTCGCTGCAGGACCCTACCTGCGCTATGCCACCGGGCCTTCACACGTTGAGTGCGTTGGGACCAACACCGTGGGTCACCGCATTATGTCCCACGGGGCGACGTGACCCTCACCGTGCGCCCGAATGTATGGAGGTTCTGATAGCCTTTGGCTCCTGGGACATCCTTCCCATTTTTGGCGCCACACTCAACGTGTTAATATCGATTGCCTTCATCATTCTATACCTCTACCTGACCATCACTATACTAATTTTTTGTCCATTGTTTCAGAAACAATTCAGTATTTTACATGGTTTCAGTTTTTAGGCAATACCCAAGACTCTCTACTTCTTTTCTACTATGCATTTGTACGGTATGTCTCATGTTCCCAGAACCAAGATCAACACCGACTCCCCGTGACTATTCCAAAAATTCTAAATTCACTTCGTCAGACGCATCAAGAAAGACAAATTTTCGAATGACTCCAAAAAATAAAATGTTTTTGGTTTTTTGGCTTGATGCCCCACTACTGTCGGAATCATCATATCGTCGTCGCGTCGGGGCAGCGACACATCATCGCCATTCAAATGCCAGCGCAGCAGCCTTTCTTTATCCGCCGGTATCGGTGACACGGCGGCGCCACGTGTGTGTCTGTGTGTGTGACTTTCTCTGGCGCCGCGCGGCGCCGTGAATCCCGATGGTCATCTTGACGTCCGCAGGGCGCGGGCTGCGCGGGCTTTGGCGGGGCAGGTATATGCGCAGCTCATCTCTGCAGAGGGGAGGAATGCCGGCAATGCCGGAGACAGAAGGGGGAGGACAGGACGAGTGAGGGAAAGGAAAACACACATGCGAGCAGCAGGTACAACCGCGCGCCCACAGTGATTAAGTCCGTCTGATGGACCGTTAGGTGTGTCGATTTACCGGCAGAGGACCGCGGTGGTAAATTAGCAATAAATGTGTGTGTGTGTGTGTGTGGTTGGCCTGTGGGTCAAGGGCATACGTCTCTCGTCTCATTCACTTTGTCGTCTGACGCGTGCTGGGGCTGACGCGACGCTTTGGTCCCGTATTCGCTGTGGTTTGTGTGTGTATAGGCGGGGGGGGGGGTACAGAAACAATGTCAACGGCAGTCGTAAGGGGGCACACAACTTTAATTTGCGTATTGAATGGAAATACATTCGATTATGTCTGTCCAACTGCAGCCAAGCCTGCAGTTCTGTGCGTAAAAACTGAATATGACCAGATGACCCACGCCCGCGCCGGAGGCAGAGCAGTAAAACTAATCTAGTGTATACTTATTTATTTTAACATAGATAACGCAGGGATGCCCTACAAATAATAGTCTTTCTTCGATAGATGTGCATGAAGAAATCACAATAATTGTCACAGCAGTCAACTAAGTCCTAAATTTTGTTTGTACAACTTACAGTTGTGTTCATTTTTTAAAGGACGTTTACAAAAGCTTTTTTTACATTGAGAAATAAATTAGGTGTGGGCAAAGTATAAATTAAGTATTTACAAAATCTTTTCTCACCACTGATGAGCACACGTATGAGTTAATCTAGTATAACATAACTGGTAACTTACAAAATTGAGCCTGGGTGAAGCCCTTGGAATTTTTGAACCAACCTTATCAGCCAATGGGTAGTTTTGTCTCAGACAATTAAAAAAACTCCACCGAAGTATAAATATATAATTAAGTAACAGCAACTAGAACGTCTTTTGTCTGTTTAAATGATTGTCCGCGCCGCATAGCGCTCAAACTTTGAGATCACAACTCATGTAGTGGACGGTGGGCGTCACAAGAGAGAAAGAAAGAAAATAACGAAAGAATGAAAGAAAACAAGATGATGTCGGTAAAGAACAAATCATATGATCTATCGATAACTTCTCGTAGATTGACAAAATAAGTTATGTAAAACTAAGAAGACTGTTGCAGTAGACCCAAGCACTTTGTCGTAGTCAGAGATAGATGGGAAGAGGGCGGAAGAGTTAGGGAGAGAGTACAGGGAGAAGCGGATCACCTGACGCACACGCACGAGTCCCGCATGTTCGTCTTGACCCAGTCGAGGTAGCGGGTGACACGGGTGTACACCCCAGGGTAGCCCGGTCGGCCACAGCCCACTCCCCACGAAACAATACCTGGAACAAGAGAAAGGGGATGGGTAGCGTAAAAGCGCCAAGCAATTTTCCATACACCATGTCCCAAATCTGATGGACGGGCTACGATAGCCTGTCGAAGGTGAATCAGTGCGCACGCACATCTCAACAAAAACAAAACCAAGCGGCAACAACACAATCTGCATGCACTTGCTGCTCCGGTGCTCTCGGCCCTCCCTCCCGGACCGTAGAGGGAGAAAGCAGCTGCTGCAGCGCGTGGAATCCAAATCCCAAACGAAACCGAAAGCGAGGGAAACCGTGCAATTCCATGTCCTTATGCACGCCGGGGCTGCGCCGGGCTGGGGCGGGCTGGGGCGGGCTGGGGCGGGTTGGGGCGGGCGGGATCCCCCCATAGCCCTCCCGCCGCTGCGCCCTAACCTCACACAACATGTCGTTCCCGGCCTTTTAAGCGATTCCACGAGCTACAACCGCGACGCCCACGCCCAGAAAGAGGAAGAGGGGGAAATTGTATCCATCTATTTCGACCCCTATTTCGCCCGTATTTGTGGGGTACGCATGCAGCAAAGTCACCAGTGAATTTTTTCCGGATGTGGACGCCTACGCTGGTGCCGTTGTCGGTGCGGTGGTCTTGTAGTGTAGGTCAGTGAAGTTGGTGCAACGTGCTGGGCTCGAGCCCTTCATAGGCTCTTAATGAAGCCACGCTCGCTGTCTTAATGAAGGCGCACGTGCCCCCTGTGTGTGTGTGTGTGTGTGCGGGCGAGCGAGCATGTGCAATCAGGATGCGTGTGAGTCGCAGGAACGTGAGGGTAAAAAATAAAGGAGCCTTACTTGGCGCCAGGCAATGGCTTTTGGCTTTTGAACTCCCCGAAAAGATGCCTGGCTAGTAAAATACATGCGAAAGTAAGGACATGGGGAAGAGGGGGTGCTGCATGACTTATCCGTGGCTGTACTCACCGACGACTTGATTTCTACCATCTTCGCCCGTTCCGACGATCAGGGGACCTCCGCTGTCGCCCTGGAACGGAGAGAGGAAGTTGAGAAATCAGTGACCCTCATAGTCTCTTCGCCACCGCCGCACAATAACACCGTCTATACTGCGCTGGACCTGCAGTCTGTGCGGGGTCTCACCCTGAACTGAATAGCGATTATCAGCAAGAAGGGGAAAATATCCGAGGAAAATGTGATGAGGAGAAATTGATTTTGCCGTCCCTGCGGTTTCCGACTCACACACGATTACGAGTCCAGAGCGAAATCTCGTATGCGCGCGAGCCGGCGCGGCGGGGCAGCCAGTGCGGCAAAGCGGCAAAGCGGCGGCAGCCTTCCTTATTATGAGATATCAATCGATTCCCTGCAACGGCTTCCGTATGACGAGCAGAGAAAGTGCGATGATCGGTAATAGTGTCTCGCCTCTTTGGTGGCGTCGATCGGGTATTATTATTA